GTCTCCTTTTTGTCTCCTTTTTGTTTGTTTCTTGTCTCCTTTTTGTCTCCTCTTTGTCTCCTTTTTTTCCTCTTTTTTTTTGTTTTTTTTTTGTCTCTTTTTTGTCTCCTTTTTGTCTCCTTTTTGTCTCCTGATGCTCTACACCTGCAACATACTGGCTGTCGTCGGCAGTATGTGTTTTTTGTTTTTTTTTTTGTTTTTTTTTTGTTTTTTTTTGTCTCCTTTTTGTCTCCTTTTTGTCTCCTGATGCTCTACACCTGCAACATACTGACTGTCGTCGGCAGTATGTTTGTTTTTTTTGTTTTTTTTGTCTCCTTTTTGTCTCCTTTTTGTTTGTTTCTTGTCTCCTTGTTGTCTCCTCTTTGTCTCCTCTTTGTCTCCTTTTTTTTTTTGTTTTTTTTTGTCTCTTTTTGTCTCCTTTTGTCTCCTGATGCTCTACACCTGCAACATACTGGCTGTCGTCGGCAGTATGTGTTTTTTGTTTTTTTTTGTTTTTTTCTGTCTCCTTCTTGTCTCCTTTTTGTTTGTTTCTTGTCTCCTTTTTGTCTCCTTTTTGTCTCCTTTTTTCCCTCTTTCTTTTTGTCTCCTTTTTGTCTCTTTTTGTCTCTTTCTGTCTCTTTTTGTCTCCTTTTCGTCTCATTTCGTCTCCTTTTTGTCTCCTTTTGTCTCCTCTTTGTCTGCTTTTTGTCCGTGTTTGCCTCTCTTGCCTTGTTTGGCCTCCTGCTGTCTCCTTTTTGTCTCCTTTTGTCTCTTTTTGTCTCCTTTCTGTCTCCTTTTTGTCTCCTTTTTGTCTCCTTTTTGTCTCCTTTCCGTCTCTATAACACCACCACCACCAGCACCACCAACAACAACAATAATTTATATTTATATTTATATTTATATTTATATTTATATTTATATTTATATTTATATTTATGCATGCAGAGGGTACAGGAGAAGTATGGAGAGAGAGCAGTTCTCTGTCTCCTTTTTTTTTCCTTTTTGTCTCCTTTTTGTCTCCTTTTTCTCTCCTTTTTCTCTCCTTTCTGTCTTTTTTATAATTAAAAAAAACAATAATAATTAATATAATTATATTAATTATATTTATATTTATGCATGCAGAGGGTACAGGAGAAGTATGGAGAGAGAGCAGCTGCGTGCTGTGGGATGATAGACAGGCGAAGCCAATCGTTCGTCTCGACTTCGCCGCAAAAATTGTTTCGCTTCTCATGCTCAGAGAATCGTTCGTTTTTCTTTTTTTTTTTTTTTTTTTTTTT